GTTACTCTTTTTCCGCATACATACACTACTTGGCGTTGAGTGAGTAAATACTTGACGTACTTGCTATTACTCCACCAAAGTAGGCACTCTACTTTCTCTCATCGCGTACGAGAGATATTTGCTGCTCTTTATACTTGTAGTACTGTAAGTTCTTGCGTATTAAATTTCAATTCTGGTTGTTAGCCTACTAGTTGATATCGTTTGCGGCGCTGGTCAGTGAAATTGAAAGAGTAAAAATAGAATATGGAAGTTGACGATGTAAGGAAATGTTGACGGCCTTATTTATAAAAAATAACGTAGATTTAGACAGTTTTTTAATGTAACATTTTCATAAAACTTTTGTATTCAAGCAGCTTCTTAAAACTACCCAACAAGCAAAATAAACTTAAAGAAAGTTTTTTTTAAGTTTTCAATTATAAACATTAAGCTTACAAAACGTTGATTTTTTGTTTATAAAACGCTTGAAAGTAAGCGTAATATAATCGAAAAGGAACATTGGTTATAAGCGTAGAAATATAAACTTGTAATAAATGTTCAAAAGAAAGCTTTTTATAAGCGTAAAAGTGTAAACTTATAACAAAGGTACAAAAAAAAGTTGTATATAAGCGTATGAAAATAAACTTACTAAAAATTTTCAAAAGAAAGCTTTTTATAAACATTTTTATAACCCTTTATTTAAAGATATTTCATCAAAAACTCATACATAGATTGCTTAACATCTAGAAACTAAACGAAATGCGAATTTACGGCGGACTCATCTACAGTCGCGAAAATATAAATAGGGAAAAGACATTTTAGCATACAAATTCACGATAACACACAAAAATTAAGCATAAAAAAGTTTATTATTACATCTTGTTGCGTGCTTTCAATTCCATGCGGTTATTGGCAAATTGGAAAAACGACACCGATGCAGCTATATATTCCGCTTCATCGCCGCCATTCTCATTGATGAACTATTCTGAAAAAAATTTAATACATTTTTAATTGAATGTTAAACTAAGAAAGGATAAGGAGACTCGAATGCTCCACCGATTAGCGCAGCGGGTCCTGGATTGGATTTTTTTTATCGCATCGGTTTTATTTAATTTTTTCTTTTAATAATATATTTTAAAAAAAGTAAACACGTCACTTACGATTGAAAAAATGTTATATTTACTACTTCATGTCGTTGGCATTTGCATTTCATTTATAAGTTTAAGTTATTTATAAACATTCGCTCTCAAAACTTATTAAAGGTTTATTTGAAAAAACTTTTAATAAGCTTAATATTAAAAATGCTTATTTGACGCTTATTATAGCAAACTTACTTTAAGTTATTTTTAAAAACATTTACTGAAATGCTTGTTGGGTATGTATGTACTTATAATTTTATGAAAGTATTATTTCTCGTTTCTAATTTTCTATAAAACTATTTGCAGTCATAAACAACAAATAAGTTGTCAAAAACAACAACTGCTATACGAAATAAAATTATTAGTCGCAAATCAAAATTTCGAAAAGTGCCGATTTTCACATTCGATAGTTGGACATGGTAGCGACGAGATGTACGAGCATTTTTTCTTAAGATCTGCATACTGATTTAAGAAATTTTTTATAGAAGCAAATTTATTTTCCATTTATTGTGCGGAATTTTATATGAATTTTTAGTTTTTCTTGAGAGCCTTTACAAATAAAAAAAAATTTCGAAATATGCACATATGTACATACATACGGAGCCATATAACTTGATTTCAAGAGAAACGAATTTTCATTAATATTTTTCTGATCATTTGAGACAACATGTTGGTGTGTACCTTTGAAAGTTGAATTTGACAGCTAATGTATGAAGTCGTTCAGAAGACGCATAACGATCACTGATTTTTTTTTAGCAACGGTTGCGCTCAACTGCTGCGCCTTATGAACCTACGCATTGATAGCTTTTTTTTTTTATAACACTGTGCGACAGCGCAAATCGGTTTGAGTAAAACCAAATGCAAGAGATAGTTTTTGAATTTCATTTAGTTTTTTTTTTGAATAAATACTAAAATTAGAGGTGTATGAATGGCGAAAGAAAAACTTTATCCGATTTTTTTAAATCGAAACTACACTTTTACATATGTACATATGTACATGCATACATAAATATATTTAATTATACTAGCTTATTCCCGCGGGTTTTACCCCGCGCGTTTATACAAATATGAAAAATAATTGATGATGTTAGATTTTATATCTGTGCCCATTTCGTTATAGCTCGTTATTTTTTAAGCGAGTTAAGGTATTTAGGGCGTTTAAAATAAAATACCACTTCTCATTACTGTAGCAGATGCCTCAAGAGAGCTTTCGATTATAAGGCCGAGCCCGGCTCTCCCTTTTCCATTTAATGAAATTTATTCTGTCAGTATGGCACTTATAAAATAAATCTCCACAACAAATTTAAAATACTTCGAGAGATTTTCTATCCTTCCAGAGATATGTATTAAGAAGTTTTTAGTATGTATGGGAGGCGACATACCTCCTTTTTTAATAACTCACATTTTTTCCATGTGCAATTGATACATTTTGTATACACAACTCCACACCAAGTTCCAGTATTCTTCCACAAACACTTCCAGGGATATGTGGCAATAAAAAGTAAATTTGTACTGGAAGTGCCACGCCCCTTTTTCTTATAACCCTAATCTTCTTCCATGAATTTAGAATTGATTTTACATACCCCAATACCAAGTCCCAGTACTCTACCATGAACACCTCTAGAGATATGCAGTATAAAATAGTAAATTTCTACCCTTTTCGAATAACGCAAATTCTTCTCCATGAGTATGGAATTAATTTTGCATCTCGGTGCCAAGTTCCAGTCCTCTGCAATAAACACCTCCAGAGATATGCAGCATAGAAAAATCAATTTGTTTGGGAGCTGCCACACCACCTTTTCCAATAACTCTCATTTTTCTCCATGAGTATGGTATTAGTTTCACATACATACATACATATGTACATTTTGAAGAGATATGCAATATGAAACTTTCAGTCAGTATGGAAGGTGCTACGCCTCTTTTCCAAAAACGTCCATTTTTCTACGTGAATATGAACATTATTTCACGCAGTGTTGGAAAACTTTTAATCTGATTAACGATTAGAAATTAACGATTAAAATGTGAATCGCGTTTGACGATTAAAATTAATTAGTCGTAGTCAACTGTACGATTAATGATAATCGCTGGCTGCGATTACGTTTAATTAATTTAAAACATTAATCGTTAATCCAATTGAAAATAAAATCTGATTAATTTGTTTAGTTTGTCCGAGTTTGAAGCCAAACACCAGTTATAGTAATTATTTTGTGTTTTACGCTTATAAAAAGCACATAATATAAAAAAATTATAATTATTGTTATTAGTAATACATAAACTGGGAACTTTTACAAACCTAGTTTGTAAATCGTTTGTTGGTATATATCTTAATGAAAATGCACACCAAATTGCTTAGATTGATGAGAAACCCTGATTTAGCCATACCGGATTAACTTGCTTTGTGTGCACATCACCAAACCTATTTGATCAAATTAAGAGTTAATGATTAAAAATTAATTTTTTAATCGCGGTTACCATTAACTGTTTAGTCGGATTAAAATTAATCATGATTAACTGTAATCAGATTGAATTTAATCGAATTAACTAACTGATTAAAACATCAATCGATTAATGCCAACATTGATTTCACATACATATCACTATACCAAGTTTCACTTGTCTCCCACAAATACTTCCAGAGATATGTATGTAATATGAAAATTGCAATTTGTATGGGAGGGACCTTGAGTTATCGGACTTACTTTCAGTCTAAGACCATCCTTCCGAAATCCGTAGTAAGTGCACTAAATTTCGTTCTGATCGGAAAACCGGTTAAGGAAGTAGCCTATTTTTCAATCCAGGTCATAAACCAGCTTTGAGCAAAATTTCATTTTCAAACAGGTGGCAATTCTTAAAAAAGTAGCCTATTTTCCAGTCTAGGTCATAAGCTATCTGTGTGCAAACTTTCATGCAAATCAGTTCAGTCATTTACGCGTATTAATTTAATTAAAGTTTCCTAAAACGTGATAACTCTTAAAATAGTAGCATATTTTCCAGCATAGGTCATAAGCTATCTCTGTGCGAAATATCATGCAAATCTGTTCAGTCGTTTCCGCGTATTAGTTTAATTAAAACTTTTTTAACAGGTGGCAACTCTTCCAAAAAATTAGCCTGTAGGTCATAAGCTATCTGCTTTCAAAATTTCAGGCAAATCCGTTCAGACTTTCCCGCCCATTGATTTAATTAAACTTTTTTAGCAGGTGGTAACTCTTAAAAAATGTAGCCTACTTTCTAACCTAGGTTAGGTTAGGTTGAAGCGGCTGCCTTCATCCAACATAGGGGAGAGGTACACTTAGACCCAGTGGGTCCGTTGTGATACCAATTGAGAGCTCGAATTCGAACCCGTCCGTTCGCCTAGAAGTGGAATCAGTTGGTTAGGTTTATAAAGCGTGAGAATTCGTAAATGCCTGCTTCACTAAGATCCGCAAGACAATCAAAACGGTGGTGGTGAAATGAGCGTCTTCTCGCCCACATCAGGGCGGGGCAATGATAGAGATAGTGTTCCACACTCTCGATTTCGTCCTCGTCGCGGCAACCACGGCAGAAATCATTAGCCGGCAAACCCATTCTGCTAGCATGCCTTCCCATTAAGCAGTGGCCCGTAATTATACCGGTCACCAGACTTAGTACAGGCCGTTCTAGCCGAATGAGTGCGGCGGATCTTTTCTTGTCGTAGTTGGGCCAGGTTTGTCGAGTCGTCCCACACGTGGGTTCTTCCGACCATCTTTTGTTCGCCCTCTCCACGTAGTATGTCCAGAGCCGTGTCTTACAGGTAGATAGGGGTATACCCGCTGCATGGGAGGAGTTGACGCCCGACAGGGTGGTTCCCTTCCGCGCAAGCTTGTCCGCCGCACACTTACCCTGAAAGTCCCTTTGGCCCGGAATTCACACGATTTGAGTAGTAGATTTTGAAGCTAGATCGTTAAGGACTTTCCTAAATTCTAAAGCAGTTGTAGATGATGTCTTGCAGCAATCCAGCGACTTAATAGCTGCTTGGCTATCGCAGTATATGGTTACCGAAGGTAGATTAAGAGAAGAATCGATGAGCCAGAGTGCAGCCTCCTTTACGGCCGCGAGTTCCGCTTGGAAGACACTGCAGTGGTCTGGTAGCCTAAAGCAGAGATCCAGTTGGAGGTCCTTTAAGTGTATCCCACTCCCTACTCTTAGATTTAGTTTAGAGCAATACGTGTATATGGCTGTGGAGTTACTTTGGAGGCCCCAGACCGAGTCGTCCTCCCAGTCCTTCCTCGAAGGGATACGAGTGGAGAACTTATTCTCGAGCACCATCGGTGGTGTTGTATAGTCTGGGGACCTGAATGTGTCGGGGTAGTTGGTCAGGATGTTGGTATGACCGAATCTAATGTCTTTCCATTTTGACAGTGCATTTAATCTTACTGCATTGTAGCTCGCCTGTAGCTTCCCTGAAAGGTCTACGGTCAGAAAGTTTAGAAGTGTTTCCATAGCTTTGGTGGGTGTGGATAGCAGTGCACCTGTGATTAGCATGCATGCCGCCCTTTGAACCTTGGTAAGCTTAGAATTTGTGAGCGATTTATCCAGTGATGTCCACCAGACTGTGACGCCGTAGAATAATATAGGACGTACCACTACTGTGTAAATCCAGTGAACTATGTGTGGTTTGAGACCCAATTTCTTGCCTATAGCCGTTTTGCAGGAGTAGAGGGCGGTAATGGCCTTTTTGGCCCGCTCTTCTACGTTACGTTGCCAGGTAAGTTTCCTGTCCAAGATGACGCCCAAGTATTTCACTTCGTCAGAGAGCAGTAGCTCTACGCCATTTAAGGTCGGAAGTTGAAATGGGGGGATTTTTGTTTTCCGTGTGAAGAGAACCGTGACCGTTTTAGCCGGTTTGGCGTTCAGTCCGCATTCTCTAGACCAGGTTTCCACGATACTCAAGGCGTTCTGCAACATTTCTGCATTTGTGGGTGTTTACCTGTTGCAGTTAGGGCAAGATCATCGGCATACGCAATAGCGTTGCAGCCCGAGCCCTGTAAGCGCATGAGTAGGTTGTTTACCGTAAGATTCCAGAGGAGTGGTGAGGGTACTCCTCCTTGAGGACTGCCCCTAGTCGTATATCTTGTGAGGTTTAAATTTCATAGTACTGGCTTTTTATTTGACAGTTTTATTCGCGTTGGAAGTTGCTGCTCAAAAAATAATGTTGAACAAATTCGTTGAAAATCCGACATTTTCGAGATCAGAAATCAAATTAAAATTAAATATACCAAAAACTTATAATTATCCTTCAAAAATCAAGGAATAGATTCCTTTTGCTTAAACTAACGGGGTGAGCTAATCATTAAAATACATCATTTCGCACCAGCTTAAGGATAAGGCTCTTTACCAGAATTAGGAAAAAAAACGGCTTATCAGAAGAAGATCGTGCGAGAGAATTGGAAAACGGTTATCCACAGTTCAGCGAATGCAAGCTATAGCAAGACTTAAACTTTGTCGAGTTATTATATATAAAGTTCTGTTAGATTAAATACATTTTATAACAAAAACCGCACCCGTTTACATTACCCCAATGTTCACACTAAATGTGGTATTTTATAATAATGACTAATAAAACATGTTTAAAACTGGACTTCGGTCAACTCCTACGTTAAAAGTTTTAAGCTAAAAAGAAACAGGGTGATATCCTCTTACAACTAAATCTATAGAAGTTGACACAGTTGTCAAAAGGCTATGAAATGACAAGAGAATCGAGGCAGTCTCATTAAAACTCGATCAGACTCCACAATGGGTCATATGACCCCAGAAATATGCTGGAAGGAGCGCTTGTACAAAGTGTTATTTCATTGTGTCCTTTACTTTGGACCTTTTGTAAAGCGTTGGTGGGTTTTTATGAAAACTAATTATTCACAGGTAACTTTAAATCGGTTTGAAGCCAATGATGTGAATAAAGTTCTGGAAGTCATCAATTTACGAATATGACCTATTTAAGTCAAATCGATAAATACATGGTATTTATTTAAACAAAATTAGTACAGATGTGCGAGCCGTAGAAAAACATAAAATAAAGATAGTTTAGTAGAGCAAGATGACTACACAATTCTCTAGAGCGGGTGTTCAGAAAATTTTTATCATTATCAAAGAAATTGTTATTTCTTTATTTATCCAAGCAAAATATGAAACTCTCGCTAACATATATCTATAACGGAATGTTTTCTCTTTATTCTAACATATTAAATATTATTTTCTGAAATCCTGTTAAAAAGATATAACCCATTTCATGCGTACCGATTTTGAGTGAACGATGCTTTATGCGGACACTTAAAGCGCAGTTAGTCAACGACGTAGCGTAAACGTAGGTTGACATACGTAGCAGCATATCAAACGGCAACGTCACCGCCATGCGGTGGTGAGTTTTCGTTAACACGCGAATCCCATAAGGTAGATCGTGTCTGCGTCAACCTACGTCTACGTTACGTCGTTGACTGTTTGAGCTTTTATATATGTATCTATGCACATACGTATCTATGCACATACATACATATGTACTTAGGTATGTATATCATATATATATTAGAGTGGTTCAAAAACACTCTTTTTGGAAATTCATAAACGCTACATCAGAATATTGTTATTTGTGATAAAAAAGAGACACGTATTTTTTTATTTTGAAAAAAAAAGTTTTCTTAGAGGTCGCGCTGGTCGGTTTTTTATAAAAACGCTGATGTTCTCAATTTTTTTATTTTCTTGACATGTTAAAATACCACATGTGTAAGCGAGCCACAGTGGTGTTGTTGTGAGCCCACCCAGCAAAAACACGATTACCACAGAAGCGAAAGTGGAAACGAGCAAGGGAATGGGAATCGCTTACCCTTTCGCTTCAAGAAGGCATTATTTTAACATAGGCATGTCATTGGCCGTAAGCCCTTACCCGCAGCATTACCTTCGAACGAAGGGAGAACGCATGGATAAACAGAATCCAGAGAAGCGAACAAAGAATGCTTTACAAAGAGACTAATGTAGAATGCCTAGATAAGTACATACTTATTTATATTAAATTGAAATCAGAAAATGTCTAAAAAGATTAAAATTAATTAAATTTTTTTATAAATCAGTTCTTATATGCACATACATATGTATGTATTTAGATTTTACTTAAAAATCGGTATGTATGTACATTAGCGTGGTCCAAAAATGTATGCGAAAAAGTAGAGTCGGAATTTTTATGCTCTCACCCCCTAGGATTGTGCTATACAGACAAAAATATACCCTTATTTTTTTTATTTTGAAATCAAAAAATATTTAGAGATCGCTCAAAGCGCCCAAAGTTTTCCATGTATGTTATATGGAGAAAAAACAACTTTTCGTAGAAATGGTATAAAATAGTTAAAAATCAATATTTTTCTACCATAAAACCCTGTTTATCTGCAGGAGATTCCCAACAATAATGCGAAATTGTTTATTTAACAATTTTTTCAGCGCAACTATAATTTATAGGTCCACCAAACACCCACAAAAACCCCGAAAAATGCAATGGGGCGACCAATAAAAAATTGTTAGTATTAAAAAATGGTTAAATAAACAATTGGGTATTATTATTTAAAGTCTACTGAAGAGAACCAGAGTTTTCCGGTCGAAAAATATTGACTTTCAAGAATTCTATACCATTTCTACGAAAAATTTTATTTTTCTCATATAAAAATACATGGAAAACTTTGAGCGCTTTAAGCGACCTCTAAATATTTTTTGATTTCAGAATAAAAGAATTGGGAGATACTCTTTTCGATATAGAGCAATCCTAGAGGGCGAGAGCATTAAAATTCCGACTTTACTGATTTTGGACAACCCTAATGTACATATATGCATAATTAATTAAATTGTACTTCCTCACTCTTGTACTTCACTTCATTGACTGACTTCAACTTCGCTGCAAATTGAACACAGCAAACCATGATTTTTATGCGAGACAAATTTCCACAGAAAGTAACGGTAGAAAAATAATTTTTGGATATTCATTCTTTTTTCAGCTGACTACGATGCAGCATTCTACTTTGCATTCCCCGAAATGAAACAAAGAAGCGAAATAAACAAAAATATTTTAGGACATTCTACTTTGGATTCCCTGAAATGAAGCAAAGAAGCGAAACAAATAAAATATTGTAGGACATTCTACTTTGCATTCCCCGAAATGAAGCAAAGAAGCGAATAAAATAAAAAATATTATAGGACGTTCTACTTTGCATTCCCCGAAATAAAACAAAGAAGCGAAATAAATAAAATATTGTAGGACATTTTACTTTGCATTACCGGCAATGCCTAAAAGAAGCGAAAGCATTCGAAGACATTATAACGCGTTGCCTTCTAGAACTCGTTACCGCTAAAAGCGATTACCGATTTTTTCTGGGCACTGAATGTCGATTTTTGCCGGTGTTGAAATAACATTAATAGTATTTAATTGTTCTGTATTCAGTTTATTGGTTTAGCAGGTTAACTCGTACAAATTTCAGATGTGTATCAGGCTCACGCGATACGAATATAATAACGTTCTTAAATAAAACAAACGCCTTCTTTAGTGTCTGAAAAAGAACTCAACTCATTTTATTCGTTTTAATTATTCTAAACCTAATTCATATGAAGCTTACTTCTAACTTCTCTTATTAAAAGCTGATGTTTCTCTTACTCTAATTTCTCTTATAATTAATTCTTATAATTAAATAACTAAATATGTACCATATAACTAAGTATATATGTAGTATGTTTGGGAAAAGTATGTATGTAAGTAAATAGGAATTCATAGAAGCTTACGCAACTCTTCCCCCGCTAGAATAAGCAGTCCCTGCTAATTCATATATATGTAAATAATAGTTTTTTATACCCGAGCGCACTTGTGCACAAGGGTATTATAACTTTGTTCACATAACGGTTGTTTGTAACAGGCAAAACGAATCGAGATAGATATAGACAAATGTATACATAAATGATCAGAATGAAAAAATAAATCGATTAAGCGGTGACTGTCTGTCCGTCCGTCCGTCCGTCCGTCCGTCCGTCTGTCCGTCTGTGCACACGATAACTCGAGTAAAAATTGAGATATCTTAACGAAACCTGGTACGTGAACTTCTTTTGGGCGTAGGACGGATGGTATTGAAAATGGGCGAAATCGGACAATAACCACGCCTACCTCCCATATAACGGTAATTTTCAGAAATACGAAAACTGCGATATTTTAGTAACTACTGAAGATTATTCACTCAAAATTGATATTTACAATGAGTTTTAGACGAAAAATAAGAATATTTTAAAATGTTGGCAAATGGGCGTAGCCACGCCCACTTATGGTTACATTTGTATATCTTGGTAACCGCTGCACCAATTTCTTCCAAACTCGGCACAGTTGTTGGCCTTGATACATCATACAAAATGGCCGAAAATTTAAAAAATCGGACAATAACCACGCCTACCTCCCATATAACGGTAATTTTCTGAAATACGAAAACTGCGATATTTTAGTAACTACTGAAGATAATTCACTCAAAATTGATATTTACAATGAGTTTTAGACGAAAAATAAGAATATTTTAAAATTTTGGCAAATGGGCGTAGCCACGCCCACTTATGGTTACATGTGTATATCTTGGTAACCGCTGCACAAATTTCTTCCAAACTTGGCACAGTTGTTGGTCCTGGTACAGCATACCAAATGGCCGAAACTTTTTAAAATCGGACAATAACCACGCCCACATTCCATATAACGGTAATTTCGAGAAATACAAAATCTTCGATAAATCAGTAAATATCAAAGCTAATTTATTCAAAATTGATGGTTGCAACAATTCTTTACCAAGAAATACGCTTATGATAAAATTTTGGAAAATGGGCGTGGCACCGCCCACTTGTGATTACATATATGTATCTCGCTAATCGTTCTAGCAGTTTGTACCAAACTCGGTATGATTATT